ATATATATATATATAAGCTCATAAGTGGGTAAATTCAAACTTAGTAATGTCAATCTAAAGCTTAAGTACATGCCAAAGAAGTTATTGAGGTTGAAAAAGTTGTTTCTAATGATACATACTGACATCCTTTTTAGTATCTGCCATGCATGGAGCAGAATTTGCTGACTAGCAATATAAACTACATTGGGCACACCTAAGTTTACTATGTGAGAGACACAAATTTAGTAAAGGATACATTGTAGAATGCTTTCCAAATGACAATCATTTTTGTTCCATTTATCCTATTCAATGTAGCAAAAATTATTCTAATGAACAAAGGTCTTATTAAAACCAGTAGCAACCTAATCTACACAATGATGCCAAACCAATTTCATGACAAATCATACTGTTTTGTTAAATATAATTTTGCTCCCTCCAACGGATGACCATTTCTTATTCTCAGTCAAAATGTCAATAAGGACAGAGATTGAGCCTAAACCTAAATAATGAATTTTATCTTTGGAAGCGTTTTTCATAGTATTCTGTCATCACCTTTTACCAGATTTCGATGGCTTGGTATATCTTTGTATTCTTAAATGTACTGACATCAAAGAATGCTTCATCACTTGAACATTTCTCTGTACTAATATGCACATAGCATAGATGCTTTACCATAAGATATAACCATTTCTTTACACTTTAAGCAATTATATGTGCATATGAGAAGAACACAGTATGTAATAGTGTGTATAGAAAAATATAAATGTTATAAGTTTATTACATATTTCATTTTGATTATGTATCAACTACTGGAGAATAGGTGATGTTTACTCATGTCATAAAAGTATCTTACTTTCAGAAAGTCAGTTTTATTATTTACTAAGATATATAATGACATGCTAAAGGAAAAATAATTTAGTATTAGTATTCCTGACTCAAAAACTAGAATCTATTTGCCTGTTTTCAGCTATTGTTCACTTATTCAATTTTATGAAAAATTATAATTTTATGAAAAATGTTTTATGAAAATAATTGTATTGTTTTATGGAAAACTAAGTTAGGTTATGAAAACTGAACACTTCAGTATTTAAACATATCTATTTATCTTTACTCAACCTTCGCGCAAATGACGTGCAAATCTGTACATTCCCTCACGCAACCAGATGATGCCTGCGAGTTGACTTGCGAAAATGGAGGACGCTGCATTTTCAATGAGAAGGGTGACGTGAGGTGTCTCTGCTGGCCTAGTTACTCAGGAGAACGATGCGAAGTCAGCCACTGCAGCAACTACTGTCAAAACGGAGGGACTTGTTCACCTTCAGCTCTAGGTAAATATTGGAGTATGCTCATTTCCTTTTGTGTGAAGACCTAACAGTATAATTTCATAGTGGATAAATTAACTCAAATTAATTTTAACAGTGCAACCTATGCAATGACATTTGTTATAAATTCAACATACTGTAATTCAGGTCAAAACGTTTAAGAACAGTTAGGGACATTAAAATGTACTGAGTTTCAAAGGTAACAAATTTATGCTTATATACGTATTGACCCAAGATTAGAATGTCTAATAGTGACCGTTTTCCAAAACTTATATGTGTACTCCAAATTTAGTTACTTTTATTTCATAGTTTCCCTAAACTTAGAAATCAATTGTTATTGACAACTAGGTTCCATTTAAACATAAATGAAATTTTTAAAACTTCTTATACCATCCTATTACCATCTAAAACTGTAAGTACTGTAGGCATTGCAAAACATCTTATATAACATGTTCTGAAAATATTCAGTTAATGCTTGTTAATACATACTATACTTGAGATCATTCTTAATTTATGCAGCAAAAATGTTTGCAGAAGTGTTCACCATGCCACATAAGTGAGCATCGAACATATTTTCCTGCTGATTTTTATTAAATGTAAAATTGGTTCCCATGAGAAAAATAACCTGAATGCATAATAAAATCTAATTTGCAAATTCCAATATTCAGTACCAGGGACATTATGCAACTATTAAAGTGCAATCTATGCACATTTAATTTTACTACCACAAATGCAAATTTATTCAGATGGAAAATCAATCTATATGATCCACATATTCCCTACACAGTTAATTTATATCTTACTGGGTGTTCTCCCTGTCTCTATTGCTTATGGTTCTCTTTGAAGTGTTTAGCATAATTCTAACTACAAGAGTCACATGAAAAAAAATTTTTAATGGAGTACAGAAAAGCCAAGCTGTTTTATATTAGAATCCTTTATGCTTGTACATATTTTTGACTGATGATTACTTGATATTTAAATATTCTAAGTACTTCATTGCATTCTGAAAAGAGTATGTAGCAGGGAAATTGAAATACAAATGTGCTAGAACTCTTCGCCCATATATTTATTTTGATGAAGGGTGGCTAGTCCATGCAGTAGGGATACTCTATTGCTATAGAAAATGTAGTACGGGATCCTTTACTGAGTAGGCAAATGAGAATACAGATTCAGTGAATGCTTGTATGATTTTCATTTTAGTAGTAGAAACACTGCTTCATTTAGAGAAGAAACAGTTCCTGAAAACTTACTTATTTGAAGATTTAACTGTTTAATTAGTAAAGCTTCTTATTAAGATAATAAAAATCATTAGATTATGGCGGGGTGATTTATTTATATTCCTAACTATAGCTGCATGTTCGATCTACAAAGGATTACAGAGACAAATCATTGAGATTGGCTGGCTCCTTAATAGAGCCTAAGTCGTACCTCATGGAGCACAACTTTCAGTGCTGCACTCATCTCTCCCGACCTTAGTGCATTCTTGAAATCCTTTGTAGATCAGCTTTTTATACTCAAATATTTAAATATTGACTTCCACAGATGATCTGTTTAAGAACATTGCTTCTCAGAAATACAAATGAAGTCTCCTGTGAATTCAACCAGAGATATGGCCATGTAGTTTTTTTTTTTTTATAAAATCTAGTAATTAATTATAGGTTATCCAATTAAGTCATTTACAAAGTACTTTTCACTTTTAAAAATGTGGTTTAAAAAAAAAAGTTGTTTGGTATTACAGTCTGTAGAACCTCATTATCTCCACACAGATGTTAATTTGTTGAACAAATCCCAGTGGGCAATTCATGGATTTATTCATTGTTGGTTTACTTACAGTTAAGCTTTTTGTAAAATTCCTATGTGGACACTATATAACTGGGGTCTGGGGCAGCTTTAATTACAATTTATAAGTTTATGACAGTTGAACAGAAAACTAATAATTGAACAAAGTAATGTCACCAGTTAATTAAAGAACACATCTGAGAGATGTAATTAAAATTTTGCGTGTAGGAATGAGTTCTTATTTCTCAGAGCTTTTTAAAAAAAAGAACACTAAATAAAAAGATATGAGCTCTGTTTATATAGGAAGATACAATATAATGAAATATTTTGACATTGATTATATCAACAATGGTGTATAAGATGCATCTCTGTGACTTTCTCTTCAAAAGATATGTTTATGATAAAATTTGTCTTCAGTAAAAGTGATAGAAGTCAGGGTAAAACATAGTATACATTCTACTATTTACAGAAGTTTTTATGCCTCATATGTATCAGACATGTATGCAATTAACTATTTGCTATTACAAGTGATAGCACATGATGAACACTTACTCTCTGAGGCACACTCATGCTGTATGGTACTTTTCCTACAGATTTAGGCCTGTCATTTAGATTTTTCATGTTCTGGCAAAGTAAATCAGGGCTTCAGCTGCAGTTAGATTGGATCAACTTCAGAGGAATGGATCAAGAAAGATTGTGAATTTGGAGCAATATACACCAATAACACTACTTCCAAAGCTAGGAATTATGCATAAGGGAAGACAAATGTCATTTTGGAAAGTGTGGCAACGAAGGCAGAACTGGCCAGGTAAAAAGGTGACACTACAATGATGGATAGCAGGCAATTCAGCATATTTTTTAAAATGTATTTAGTACAGGGTCTAGAGGGTCTACAGTGTCTCACTGTGTAGACTGGACTCGTAGTAATCTTCCTGTTTTCAGATTCCCAAGCGCTGGGATTACAGGCTTGCACCATCACGCCCAGTCTCATTCACAGTCTCAGTGTGCTCTGGGGCTGAGGCTGGCACAGCATGCCAGGGATCAAACCCTGGTCCCTGCATCTGCCTAACTAGGCATTTTAGTAGGCTGAGCTATCTGGCTGGCCTGACGCAGCATATTTTTATTGAATGATTTATGAATGTAACAGGAAGAGAAGAGAGGCTCGTCAGGTAGATCTTTGTGCCACGAGAACTGGAGGCTTTTGATGCTGAGTGTCTTCCTCAGAAGTGAAGCAGAAGTATAGAAGAGTCCGGTATTATGGAACAATTATAAAATCTCTCTGCGGTGGATGAACTTTTAAAATATGAGATGAAGAGATGAAGATTTCCTTGTTTCTATTAAGGTCTTTCTGTCCAAGCACCTACCCATTACAGATGGTATATTTGCTCGAAGAACTTGCATATAACCTCAAACACCACAGAAATGATGACAAAATGCATGTACAGAAAACTTTCCAGGTACCAATTTATCTAGGATGTAAAGCACAAAGTCAGCCCAATTATAGCTCTATGTGGATTTAACCTACTTTTAACCTGCCCCTATTTTCTTTCATTTTTATTGAAAGGTAGGCTATTTTTCATATAAATTAAGTTTTATATTCTCACTACTAAACACAGATATTAATTATACTTAGGAAATAGCAAAAGCAAATATTTAGCTCTCTTCAAAGAGTTCAAGGAAATAACTGCCATTAAATTTTTTAAAAGTAGCTTATAATTTAACATATAATTAAATTCAGAATATGTAACTCTGAAAATTAGGCAGAAAAAAATTAAAACATAATGAAAAACGGGTAAAGGCAAGACCTTTGGAGTTGGAGAAGCGTGAAATAGGAGCCTCTCCTTTGTAAGATATGAGTAAAATAGGCATTCTCAAATTAGTGCTGGAAAAGGATGCTAAAGGTGCAAACCTTTCAGCCATCAATTTTTAAAACTGACTACACATTTTGAAAAGTATTAATATTCTTTGCCTAAACAATGTCACTTTTAGAGATACCTCTCAAGGATCAAAAAATAACACAGAAATTAAGTATAGAGGTAAAAATGTCAGTAGTGTTACAAATAATCTAATATTGGAGAAAACCCTAAATTCATATTGTAAATATATAAAATATTGCATGCATAAAGTATAAGAATATTTAAATATAATCCCAATCAAAGTATATCTAATAGTATGGAAAACTGTTTGCATTGTACTTTAAAAAATAAACGATGTATAAGAAATTCATACTATGTATTCTAAGGGAAATATATATAAAATTTCTGTATGAAATATATTTCTTATATTTCTATATTCTAGCCAATCCCATGGTTAATAGATATTCATAGTACTATAAAAATTAAAATAATATTTATTACTATAAATGAAAATAATGATATCTATTACTGTCAGAATCATGATAGCATATATTGGCTTTTTTTTAAGTGCTGGACTTGTTCTATAACATTATATCGTCATAAAAAAGCCTATGAAAAAATAAACAAACCTTCCTTAATTCTCCTGCTGGCTTCCTGAGTCACCATCACGCCTTCATTTTTACCACGGTGAGAGGATACTAAATTATTCAGCCTTATGACTCTCTAGGCAAATGCCAAAAGGCTTGTGTGAGCTTACTTGTATTCTCAGAAGAGACAAAAATGCTTCAATCTCATTTCTACAGTGCTGACTGAAAATGAACTTTCCAAAAGCATAAACAGTCTGAGACCAATTACTTGAAACATGTCAGGATATATTAAACAGTACCTGGGAGACAACTCGATAAAGACCACAATTTTTCCCCTACTTTGTCAGTCTTTGCTGAATAGTTTACTCTAATCTTTGTGAAACTAAAGACAGTTTGACAGCTGTAGTCAACTTGCTAAAACTGTGTATAAGTGGATGCTTGCTTTTAGTCCAGTACAGTAAGCAAAAGAGTAGAATGTCAAAATTTCTTTCCAAAGAACCAGCAGTTTTTTAAAAGTGTTCAGAATTTTTATTATTTGGAATCTACATCTGAGGTTAAGGCAGATTTCGGAAAGGAAAGCAGCCAGGAGAAAGGTATCAGGAAGCAGAATTTCTGATTGCAGTTTTGTAAGTAAGTGAATGATGCTGTGGGACTTTATAGTCTATTATTTACATTCTGCACAAAGGGATACAAGTACATTCGCTGTTCAAATACTAAGCATTTTGTAAGAGTTGTGCCACATTTAGATGGTACTTTCATGGGACACTAAACATTAACATTCAAA